AGGCTGGAGTGCAGTGGGGGTGGGGTGACCATAGCTCGCTGTAGTGTCAAGCTCCCAGGCTCAAGCCATCCTCCTGTCTGAGCCTCCCAAGTAGCTAGAACCACAGGCATGCACCAGCACACCTAGCTAATGTATTAGTTTGTTCTCACGCTGTTAGCGAACACATTCCTGAGATTGGGTAATTTATAAAGGAAAGAGGTTTAATTGACTCACAGTTCAGCAAGGCTGGGAAGGCCTCAGAAACTTACAATCATGGCAAAAGGGGAAGCAAACACCTCCTTTTTCACATGGCAGCAGGAAGGAGAATAAGAGCTGAACGAAGGGGAAGGCCCTTATAAAATCATCAGGTCTCATGAGAGCTTACTCACTATCAGGAGAATAGCATGGGGGAAACCGCCCCCATGATTCAATTGCATCCCCATGACATGTGGGGATTATGGGAACTACAATTCAAAATGAGATTCGGGTGGGGACACAGCCAAGCCATATCAGCTAATTTTTAGATTTTTTTTTTTGTACAGATGGGATCTCACTATGTTGCCCAGGCTGGTCTCAAACTCCTGGGCTCAAGTGATCCTCCTGCCTCGGCTTCCTGAAGTGCAGGGATAACAGGTGTGAACAACTGTACCTGGTCTGTGAGCTAATCTTAAGAAGATGAGGGGTTCCCACACTTGCTTCTACTGATGTTGTAGCATGAACTCTCGGTACTGGAGGTCACATCCCTTAGAAATGTGGGCAGGGGTCGGTTGCTTCTTGTTTTCTGATTTTACAGCTTAGCTCTCAGGAGCAGGCTGAAGTTCAGTGTTTCCCTGCAGTGAGATGAATGTTCTCATCTTGTCCAGGCAGCTTAGGACTCAACTCAGGAATCTCTTTAGTGTAGTCAAAATAAGCTGAATATTGTTAACAATCTTGGTCTGGCTGACTTCGGCATTCTGTCCATAGGTTGCAAAGATGATAAAATGCTGTCTACATTTCCTTCTCACTAAAAGTGGCTAAGAAGGTCTATCTTATCCATACTTTATTGATAGTTTGTGTGGGTGTAGAATTTTAGGTGAGCTATCATTTGTCTCAAGAATCAGAGGTTTTGGCTGGGGCATTGGTGGCTCACATCTGTAATCGCAGCACTTTGGGAGGCCGAGGCGGGCAGATCATTTGAGGTCAGGTGTTCGAGACCAGCCTGGCCAACATGATGAAACCCTGTCTCTACTAAAAATATGAAAAAATTAGCCAGGCATGGTGGCATGCATCTGTAATCCCAGCTAATCAGGAGGCTGAGGTAGGAGAATTGCTTGAATCTGGGAGGCAGAGGTTGCAGTGAGCTGAAATTGTACCACTGCACTCCAGCCTGGGCAACAGAGCAAGACTCTGTCTCATATAAAGAAAAGAGGGAGCGGGGGATTAGAATGTGGTGGTCAGTCCCTGGAGGGTGGCTTGTGGGCTGCTGCTTGTGCTGTAGTATTTCCTCTGTGACTGGTTTCCAAGGGAGAGTTTTTCAGTCTCCCAGTGTCCCACCTGGGGCTCCAGGTCTGACTGCCAGTGTTCCAGGAGCCACGTGGGGAGAAGAGGGCTGAGGTGCTGGCCTGCAGTATTGGTTCCTATCCCAGCCTCTTCAGAGAAGGCTGAGACAGGGATCAGGGAGACTGTGGAGGGGTCTAATGGCCTCTCCTTCCCAGTCACCTCCCCATGCTTATATCTTAAACTCCTATCGAACTCCCAGTTTCAGACATACCTGGTGGGACTCGTTTCTGAGCCTTTCAAGGCTTCTGCAGGAGTCACTGTGTTGGCGCTCAGCTTTTCTGCTGAAGGCCTGGGATTTGGCTTTGCTGAATGTGTTAAATTACTCGCTTCTTCTTCATCAGCTTTTTTACTTCCTTACCTTTGTGTGCTGAGTAGGTTTGTGTCTTTTTTTAAGAAAGTCTCTGGACTGTAGTTTTGGTTAGAGTTTAGGAGGAGGTGAAATGAATGTGGGTTTTCAGCCTGCTGTTTTAACCTGGCACTGCCATTGAAAAGAATCTTGTTGTTTGGACTCTAGGGTATGATCACGCCACCACATCCTTCCTGGACATGGTGAGCCTGGGGAGATTTTTCACTCGCTCCTCTGTGCAGTGTCTCCTTCTGTGCCCCTCCTTGCTGTACCAGGAGGTGCACTTGTTATGTTTCTCTAACGCCCTTTGTACCTTGATATGGTTTGTATCCTCACCCAAATCTCATCTCGTAGCTCCCAGAATTCCCACATGTTGTGGGAGGGACCTGGTGGGAGATAACTGAATCATGGGGGTGGATCTTCTCCGTGCTGTTCTCGTGATAGTGAATAAGTCTCACGAGATCTGATGGTTTTAAAAATGGGAGTTTCCCTACACAAGCTCTCTTCTCTTGTCTGCTGCCATGTGAGACATGCCTTTCATTTTCCACTATGATTGTGAGGCCTCCCCAGCCATGTGGAGCTGTAAGTCCAATAAGCCTCTTTTGTAAATCGCCCAGTCTCGGGTACATCTTTTATCAGCAATGTGAAAACAGACTAACGCATACCTGTTTTGTTCTCTCTGTTAAAGTCTGACTCATCCTTTGTTCTCTTTTTTTTTTTTTTTCCGAGATGGAGTCTCGCTCTGTCGCCCAGGCTGGAGTGCAGTGGCCAGATCTCGGCTCACTGCAAGCTCCGCCTCCCGGGTTCATGCCATTCTCCTGCCTCAGCCTCCCGAGTAGCTGGGACTACAGGCGCCTCCTCGCCTGGCTAGTTTTTTTGTATGTTTTAGTAGAGACGGGGTTTCACCGTGTTAGCCAGGATGGTCTCGATCTCCTGACCTCGTGATCCACCCGCCTCGGCCTCCCAAAGTGCTGGAATTACAGACTTGAGCCACCGCGCCCGGCCCCTTTGTTCTCAAATATAGATTCCCTAAAGGAATCCTTCCCCGGACCCCTGGACCTGGCCCAGATGAACTTGAGCCTCTGTTGGTGTCCTTCAGCAGCTTGTTCTGTCACAGTTATGCTTAATCATTTGTGCAGCACCTTGTATAATACCGACCTCTTTTCACCTAACTTTGAAGCTCTGGAAAGGCAAGGACTGTGTCTTTCTTGTCCATTCTTAGAAACACACTTTCTTGACCATAGTAGCACTCATTAAATACCTGTCCAATAAATGCATGAATTCATGGACGTGTGTCTTCAACTCCTTGAATTTATTTTTATTATTATCATTTTTTTTTGGAGACAGTCTTGCCCTGTCACCCAGGCTGGAATGCAGTGGCATGATCTCAGCTTGGCCCCTTGCAACCACCGCCTCCTGGGTTCAAGCGATTCTTCTGCCTCAGCGTCCCAGGTAGCTGGGATTACAGGCATGCACCACCAGGCCCAGTTAATGCTTTTTTGTATTTTTAGTAGAGACAGGATTTCACCATGTTGGCCAGGCTGGTCGTGAACTCCTGAACTCAAGCAGTCCACCCACCTCGGCCTCCCAAAGTGCTGGAATTATAGGTGTGAGCCACCATGCCTGGCTTGAATTTGAAATTTTTGAGTTCATGCATATAGATTAAATGGATATGCACACTTATTTAGAGGTATGAATACTAAGACTCAAAAGGTATACACATTAATCATCCCAATATATTTGTAATTAAAAATTAACTAATTCATTAAACATTTATTGTCTTTGCACAAAGCTATTATGTGATGTTGACCTGATTCCAGAGTTTAATAGTTTGTTCATATTTTCCAAAATATAATTACCTTACCTTCTTCCCTCACTTTAATTTCTTCCCATGAGAATTCAGACTATTATTTTGATAGGCTATGTGAGAATTATCATCTTATTCAATATTTTGTGCATAATTAAGAAGTGCTTTAAGAGTAGATACTGAATATTACTTTTGGGCCTCTCATGAGGCAGGATGTGGGGTTAGGCACTTTATAAATAGACATCAGTTGCTTTGAATATTATGTGTTCTTAAAGCTGATGAGATACCTTCATAAATGTTTTCTCTTAGTTCAATGGAAGAGACATGGGAGGTTTCTCAACTATATTTTGTAATGAGTGAGAATCTACACGTTTAATTTGGAGGGTGTGAGAACATGTTTGCAAAGGCTACTGTCACAAATTCCCATGGACTGGATGACTTAGAATGACAGAAATTTGTTGTCTTGTGCTTCTGGAGACTAGCGTGTGAAATCAGGGTGTCGGCAGGACCACACTCCCTGAAGGCTCAGGGTGGAAGCAGAGGTCGGCTCTGGCTTCCCGGGTTGCCTGTGTCCTGGGCTTTGCTCACCTTGTGGCCACCTTCCTCGGTTCCCTGCCTCCATGTTCACATGGCCTTCTCCACATCTGTCCAAATTTCTCTCTGCTTACAAGACAACCGTTATTTGACTGGCCCTGTGTGAATTCCGTCCAACTTTGTCTTCACTCGATTGTATTTACAAAGACCCTATTTTCAAATAAGATTGCATGATAGCTTCTGGGTGAGTACAAATTTTCAGGGAGACACTCTTCAACCCAATCTGATCGCATTTCGTGTATGTTCAGAATCTTAGAAATAACACAGTGGTACTCTCTACTGAGTTCCTCTGGTTACACGAAGTAAAGTTCAGAGAAATGGTGTGGATACACGAGATGAGGATCAAACTGTCTTAGCCGTTGCTTCATTTATTAAAACAACAACAAAAAAAGAAAAAACCAAAAAAAAGCAAGAGAAATTTTCTCTCTCAAGTTTTTAGAAGTTCCAGCAAGCAGTATTCTTTTTGCAGGATCCAAAAAGAGACACACACACACACACACACACACACACACACACACACACTTGCTTTTTTTCTCTGTTATCACTGTTTGATCATCACTGTTTCTCAGTAGGCAGACTTCTTTCTAGTTTCTTTCATTATGGTAAAAGGAATATGTGTTTGAATTCAGCAGTGAAGTCATCTGAGATGCATGTTGTTATGGAAAATTGCCATAGTGTTCAGCTGTTACGAGACAGAAGTCAAAGCTAAGCACATTAATGGCCGGAGACAAGCAGTATTTCCAAGCAGCTCTTTTTATTATTTTTATACTTTAGATGAAATGGGTATTTGGATGGGATGAGTCCCATTATGCTGCGGTTGCTCACGTTGGGAGATGTGTTCACACGTCTGTGTGGTTGTCTGTTGGTGTCTGTGCGTGCAGTCTGATCCAGCTCTTGGGCAGGCGTTCCTTTCTGTCTTGAATGCAAACAGGAACAGTGTGAAAACAAGCTCATGATTAATATTTCTACTGTTATTTACCTTTAAGAGATCACTCTGAATAGCTTTGGATGCCGTATTTTAGTGGGAATTCTGACTTCCTTATTTGGAAAATACAGATCATTTCCAAAATGTACACTCAGTTGAAGGATAGACAGTTGATGAAATAGGTTTTAAAAAACCCAAAGGACATTAAAAGCCTCATTTGATTGAAAAATTAATAATGACTTTTTTTTTCTTGAAGACCAACCCCATTATTTAGAGGCCTAAAAGATTTGCCAGAACTATCCATACACTATCCACGTCCATAACAAGTCTGTAGAGGTGACTGCACTGCACATCACCATGGCTTTCAGTGGATTTTAATGTCTCTGCATCACACAGCTGGGTGATTCTCAGCTTTTGGAACAAAACGAAATTTTCCTTTTAAAAATCAACTTAAGATATGTTTAAAAAGTAGATAAAGGCCAAGTGCGGTGGCTCATGCCTGTAATCTCAGCACTTTGGGAGGCCGAGGTGGGCGAATCACCTGAGGTCAGGAGTTTGAGATCAGCCTGGCCAACATGGCGAAACCCCGTCTCTATTAAAAATACAAAAATTAGCTGGGCATGGTGGTGGGCACCTGTAATCCCAGCTACTCGGGAGGCTGAGGCAGAAGAATCACTTGAACCCGGGAGGTGGAGGTTGCAGTGAGCCGAGATCGTACCACCGCACTCCAGCCTGGGTGACAAAAAATAAAAAAGTAGATGAAACCTTTCTTTGACTTAGTCACATTGAGCAATTTTGCAGCCTCGGGAAACCATCATTTGATTAACTTATGACATATCCCAATGTCCACTCGAGCAAAACGCCCCAGTTTCCATAAAAGCTTTTTATTTTTGTCTTTTGCGAAGAACTACTAGGACGGGTTTCTGTCAGTTGGTTTCTGTCATCAAACAATGACGTTTATTACAGGACAAACTCAGTCTTTTGGCCAGTAATGTCTTTGTTGCCTCAGTTTTCCCGTTCACTAAGTGTATACTAAGAGACCACTAAAGGATTTTTGGGGGCTTGGTAAGTTTTAAAACTAGGGCTAACAGAGACTAGAAAATAAAAACCTATCAGTAATTGTAACATGTCACGTGTCTGACATTTACAAGCCTCCCTATTACTTTTCATTCCCAGCAGTTCTTATAAATGGTATTCTACATCTGAGATCCTACATGTTTGCAAATGTTAAATTGTACAAGTTTCACTGACAACTCATTTGTCCATCAAAAAGATCTACAAATAAGAAACAGCAATTCCCAATTTTCTAGTTAATGGAAAGAAAATATTATTTCCTTAGAGGAATATAGAAATACAGCCCGGAGAAGACAAAAGCTCTCCAGCTCACTTCACTCATGACCACACCTTGTAACAGCAAGGAAGGGACATATGTGAAATGTCACTAACATCTGTGATCCTTTTTTTATCCTTTAAAAAAGGGAAATTGTTGGAACCTTTTTGTGTTACTTAAAAAAAAAACTGAAAATCTCAGTGTGTTTGAGATTCTAAATGAGCTACTCAGAGATTTGCCTTCGAGTGCAGGGAATTATGACTGCAGTTCTTTGGGAGGCTGAGGCGGGCGGATCACTTGAGGTCAGGAGTTCCAGACCAGCCTGGCCAACATAGTGAAACTTCGTCTCTACTAAAAATGCAAAAATTAGCCAGAAATTACTTGAACCTGAGAGGTGGAGGTTGCAGTGAGCCGAGATCGCGCCACTGCACCCCAGCCCGGGCAACAGAGCGAGACTCCGTCTCAAAAAAAACAAAAACAAAACAAAGGACAACTGCACTTGAGTCCAAACCCTTGGCATCCTCCTTGTAGCCACTCTCTACCGCACACCTCTGCGTGGGGGATCCCCACGTCTGCCCCAGGTTTGGTAATTTACTGAAAGTACTCACAGGATTCAGAAGTCGTTACACTCACGGTTGTAGTTTATTGCAGTGAAAGGACAGAAAGCAGAATCAGCAATGGGGTGAAGTCCAGAAAACCAGACAGAAGCTTCCAGAGCCCCCTCCTGGAGGCGTCACACAGCACCCAGCTGTGACAAGAGGTGCCAGATACTCTTTTACCAGGGCAGGTCCTTAGAGATTCAGTGCTCCGGGTTTTTTCTGGGGACTGTTCCCATAGGCACCCTCTGCCAGGCACAGACCAGAATTCCCCGCTCTTAGAAGGAAACCATAAACCAGATTGTTTGCACACACATTTTAGACACAGCGAACTACTCTTATCTTTAGGAAAAGTTTCAGATTGGAGTAAGCTATTTTTTATCAGTCACATTTCCAGGTTGCAGCCACAGACCCCCCTTGCAGGCGAGCCCCGTCTGTGAGGATCACAGCCTCAGGCCTCCCAGGTGAACCCTTCTCTGCACGCTTTCATTCCTCCATCTGAAACTGAAGTCAGATGGAGCCCCACGTTTGCTCCTGCCTCCCTGTGGCACGCCATCTCATCAGGGCGGGATGCCTGGGTCCAGGCGCCTGACGCTGGAGGCCTCACGTACCTGCCGTTCCCCTTCCAGCTCCCCACTGTCCCAATGACACCTGCTTACTCCTGCCTCAGGCCTTTGTATAATGCCTGGTCTGCCTGGAAGGTCACCCCCAGATTCCTGCATAATCCCTTCCCTCACATCCTACGGGTGTCTGCTTAAAATTAGAAAACCCTGGACTGGGTGCGGTGGCTCACACCTGTAATCCCAGCACTTTGGGAGGCCGAGGCGGATGGATCACCTGAGGTCAGGAGTTCGAGACGAGCCTGGCCAACATGGTGAAACACCATTTCTACTAAAAATAAAAAAAATTATCCGGATGTGGTAGCGCTTGCCTATAATCCCAGGTACTAGGGCGGCTGAGGCAGGATAATTGCTTGAACCCGGGAGGCAGAGGTTGCAGTGAGCCGCACTCCAGCCTGGGCGACAGAGAGAGACTCTGTCTCTAAATAAATAAATAAATAAATAAATAAAGACCCTGCTCTGTGCCACTATCTCCCCTTCTGTGCACTCTCCCTGCTATCCTGGTTCGGCACTGATCTCAGCGCTTATCTCCTCGATTGTTATATAGCACTTTGACTTTGACTTTTTAAAATTTAATTTAAACGGTTTTTTGCATACGACCTCCTTCCCATAGCTAGAACGCAGGCTCCGCGAAAGCCAAGTTTGTATTTTCATGACTGCTTCATCCCCAGGGCCTTCAGCAGTACCCAGGACATCATCAGTTCTCAGTAAATATTCTTCAGTGGGGATTCATGAAGAAATAAGTCCAAAAATTAACTTAGAAGAATCAAAGCATAGGAGAGGTCATCACTATAACTTAAATTAAGCAAGCCTCCTGTGAGTGGTTCTGAATATTAGGGATGACTAGCCTAAGAGGAGAATGGCCCCATTTATGGGATGGTGAGTTTACATCTAAGGATGGCCCTTTTGTAATCAGCTAAAAATACCCCAGCTCAGTTCTTTGCTAAGAAGAGAAAAAAGTTGAGAGCACTGAGAAGAATGTTTGGGAGGAATTGAAATTAAGACGTCGTCTCAGGGGCCAGGCGCGGTGACTCACACCTGTAATCTCAGCACTTTGGGAGGCCAGGCTGGAGGATTGCTTGAGCCCAGGATTTCTAGAGCAGCCTGGGCAACATGGTGAAACCCCATCTCTGCGCAATATACAAAAATTAGCTGGGCGTGGTGGCGTGTGCATGTAATCCCAGCTACCTGGGAGGCTGAGGCAGGAGAATCACTTGACTGCGGGAGGCAGAGGTTGCAGTGAGCTGAGATCGTGCCACTGTACTCCAGTCTGGGTGATAGAGCGAGACTTCATCTCAGAGAAGGAAGGAGGGGAGGGAGGGAGGGAAGGAGGGAGGGAGGGAGATCTCAGCGTTAAAAAAGAAATCAAAACATAAACAATTAAAATCTCAGCATTAAAAAAAAAACAAAGATCATGTTCCATGAAATCCCGTTGCTTACAAACCTGAAATGTCAAGGTTTGCTGCTTGTTGAAAGTGATCACGGACTAGGCTTAATGTTGTGTACACATGTTGTATGTGAGCTTTTTTTCCTCTCTTTTTTAAAGTGTCCGACTTTTCAGATTGTTTGATCTGGGCACTGACCTGCCACTGTATACTGTTTTCTAACTAAACAAAGAGAGAATAAAGACACAAGGAATTCGAGAAATAAGCGCAGGAGAGCACTCTGGTCCGGGGATACGGTTGGCATCGAGGGTTTCTGCTTTTTTATAGGCAGCTAATTCTTTTCTGCTGAATCGATCGCTCTTTCATGTCATGCTTCTCAGTAGTGTATGTAACTGACAGGTGAGGTGTGGCTGGGCAGTGACTCCCTAGTGCTTCCTGCTTATTTCCATTTTATTCGAAGCCAAGGGGAAGTTTGTTTTTAATGTGAATTGTATGCCCAGGATACTAATTCCAATCCATTCTCTTATCACCTCCCTGACCAGTTCCTAATCAGAATCTGCACCTCACGGAGGTTACAGGGATCCAAAGTCACGATAACTGAGGCTTGTACTTCATCTGGACTCAGAACAGAGCAAATGCGTGCCTGGTCTAAGTACTTCTGTAAAATACTCAGCGTCTTCGTGTCCTTCTGTAGCTCAGTCTCTGTCGTCTTTGACATAAGTATCGAGATAATACACACATCACTGATAAGGGATAAAAGGCACCCTGGAAATCCGTAAACAAAGGACTAGCAGTCATGGCAGTGCACTGGGTTGAGTCTGGTTTGGTTGGGTCTGAAACTGTACCTGGAATGCTTTCTTTTAGTATCTTGCTTTCTCTCTTTCTCAGTGTTTAATAAAGGAAGGGACGCAGACATGGAGAGAAGGCTAACTGATAGAAGAAATGCTGTGTGAGGCCGTTTTTCCCCACACAAACAAAGAAATAAAGGCCTTCCCTTCACGGATGCCCTCTCTACTAAGAGTGTTCACGCTGCTCGTAGCACTGAAGATTCCACATCCAGTGATTTTTTTCAGTGTTTTCTTAGCTTTGAATGATGTACCTGTCAGTGTGATTATAGATTTAACCCTTAGGAGGGAATCTCTCCTATATTTTAGCATCAGAGACCTAGATTAAAGGCTGAGGAGAGAAGATTAAATGTGGCCAAGAGAGAGAAGCTTTTCTTTCTCATTCTGTCTGGTACAGCCAAAGGGGTAAGGAAGATGCGGGCTTCTCTTACGATAGACTGTGAGGCTGCAGTTTCTATGGTGACTGGTTTCTTTTTCCCTTATTCAGCAGCTAAATGCAGCAGCACTCAAACACTTGTAGCTTAGTTTGGCCTTCAGGTGGGACACTTACGTTCTCCCGGCATTTACCTTAAGCCCCTATGTGGAGACAGAGCTTAATTTTTTGCCCAAGTCATTTAGCAAATAATGTTTGTTGTGGGATACATGATGGATATCTCCTCCTCATCACGTTATCCCCAACCCAGGCGCCCGGCCGTCTTCTGGGTTCTTGCACTGAAGCATGTGAATTCCGTGGCAAAAAAGGACCAGAGGGGCCATCTAGTTTTTACGAGTATTGGAGAAAATCTTATAAGAGACGCACTAAAGATGGTAACATTGGTCAAACAATAAATGTAACTATAAAAAATCGTGCCAGGCGCGGTGGCTCAAGCCTGTAATCCCAGCACTCTGGGAGGCCAAGGCGGGTGGATCACGAGGTCAGGAGATCGAGACCATCCTGGCTAACACGGTGAAAACCCATCTCTACTAAAAAAATACAAAAAACTAGCCGGGCGAGGTGGTGGGCGCCTGTAGTCCCAGCTATTCGGGAGGCTGAGGCAGGAGAATGGCGTGAACCCGGGAGGCGGAGCTTGCCGTGAGCTGAGATCCGGCCACTGCACTCCAGCCCGGGCGACAGAGAGAGACTGTCTCAAAAAAAAAAAAAAAAAAAAAAAAAATCGCAAAAACCCAGATCTATATAGAGTTTGCTAACGCAGCTGCTTGATCACTGGGGCCTGAGCTCTGCCGCCTGCAGTCCATTAGATAGCAACTTGCTTTTAATCCTAAACGTTAAGAATTTAAGAATTTAGTCAACTTTCAGTTTTCTGCTCCGGGAATTCTCACTCCCAAATAGCTTCTGCTTACCGTGGATAATTCTGGCTCTTGCCAGTTCCTGGGATTGCAGAAAGGGTGAGATAATATTAGCATGAACTTACTGGAATTGGTGTATGGGATCTGGAGGTGTGCAAAGGGGATACATCTCTTGTTTATAAAACTAGACACATTTCAAAGTGATCATTGTGCCAGATTTTTATTTTTTGGGGGTTTTCTATTCCATGGTCTGTTAATAAAAATAATTAAGAAAAATTGTAATTCTTTTACCTACGGAAGATGTTATTGTGAATTTAATCCACAGTAAAATTGTTTAGAGGTGGCTCCCCTACCACACCCCCTCTAAAAAAAACCACACCAATCCTTTTGCAAGTTAGGCCACCCGTTTAAGCCCGGTAGTGCCTTTCATGAACCAGACAGTTGCCAATAGCAGTGTCTCCAGTGAGGAACGTGATGTAAAGAGAAGTTTGAGCTTCTCTCTTTTAACTTTAGGACTTCAGAGGTTTGAGAGCTAATGGAAATGAGGACCCCATGTAATCAGGGAGCCCAGTGGTGCCGCCATGCCACCGGGCCTTGCCCTTCAGCACTCTCCCTCCTGCCCCCAGGTAGGGCACGCTGAGGAAGTCGGCGTGCTTTGCTGGGTGTCAATAAAAGATGTGGAGACTGTTCATTCCCGAACTTTCTCTCTTCTGTCCTTCCGACAGCCACCCCTACTTTGAATCTGCCTGTCTCAGTGACATAAAGTCAAGGATAAGATAAAATCTGCCTCCAGTTTTGTCGCCAGTGCCATGTATAACCAGAAAGGCCAGCACGAGCATGTCCGATAAACCTTTACATGAATATATGATGTCCTGCATTTAACAACTTGATAAAAGGAATGGCTAAGTTTAGGAGAGTGGAAACCTGCTTTAAAGCTCCTCAATATTTAACAAGATCATGCACTTGTGGTGACCTGCAAAGTCTCTAGATCAC